ACAAGACAATACTACTATAAAGCTGAGGCAATACATTTCTAGTGTATCTGTTACAGTAAACCTTCAGAGTACATTTAGCATATTGACTAAAAATTCTGTTTTCAGGTCATTTGACTTTCTTGGAATTGAATGATCTCCCAGATGTGATGAAACCAGAATTCAGCAGATCCCTGACCTTGATCTGATGTTACTGTGAATTATCCTGCTCTTACTTCTTCGCTGCAACTTCTCACAGCCATTGACTTCTACACCTACCTTACTGCAATCCCATCTTTTCTCACATCCACTCTTCTGTCACTACGGGCCTCTTTTCTCATCCAGAAAGAAGCACTGTCCCATTTTTGTGGGCCATCAAAACTGTATTCTTCCTTTACAAAATCAGAAGTCACCGCAGTGTGTGTGTTTTTTTAACTGAAAAAGAGGTTTAAACCCCTGTTTAAACTGAAAAAAACACATTTGTAGCCTTGAATGGCCAAGCAAATGTCTATTAGAGGTTTTCTGAAACTGTGTGTATGGGGGCCCTGGGGATCCTCATGGGGGGGGGGGAAGGATCCTCAAAACATGGCAAAATTTCCCCAAAAGCTCCCAGAGGGCACAAGGAGACCTTCTGAGCAAAAGATTAAAACAAAAATTAACCTATGGAGGTGGAGGAACTGAGGAGTCCTGAGCCTGCACATTACCCACCTCTTTGCTAATATTATTCATCCTGCACTAGACAAATTACCAAACAAGCTCCACTCTTCTACAAATGAGAAAACTAGGACATATTTTAGAAATGCATCTTCTTCTGCTAGTTGTGAGAAACAGCAATATGCACTATAGAAACCGATCTACACTTACTGGAAAATGCAGAAGCCAGACAGGTGGCTAATTAATATTTTAACAGGCACTGCCTTTAAAGTATATAACTACGACTGTGAGGACTGGCAGCTTGCTTGCACTCAAAATACAAATTCCTCAGAAGCTATAATCTATCATTCTACAGAACTGTGGAATACAGACAAGAAATAATATAGAAAAGAATACTGTAGCAGCCATCTGAGGAAGGACAAATATGTGGATGGTCCAAGTTAAAATTAACTGAAAGTGTAACTTAACCAGGGCAAACTGTAAATATAGTATAGCTGCTAGCACCTAGCATATAAATTGCCATAACAGGAAAAGTTAGTGCAGGAGGGGAAAAAATCCAACTTTTGTTGATCTCAGTACTTATTTACTCCAAAAGACACAGAAAAGTGCTGCTAGCTACCTAGCATATCTGCTGGGTTCCCCCCCCCCCATACATCAAATAAATGGGGGGGGTGGAAGCATATTTTAATAGTTTTTACTTAGGTTGTTTTAGATAGTTTTATGTTGCTATCTCTGAAAGCATGATTCATAATTTGTGATCACACACTGCTCTTTTGATAAGGAATTATTGGTGGGTGGAGACTACCTATTTATTTATTAAAAACAAAATACCAATCATGCTGGATCAGGCCAAATATCTATATAGAGGTGAATGTCTATACTGTATAGAGGTGTGACCCTCTAGATATTTTACTGCAACTCCCAGCCAGCCAACTGTAAGGGATGATGGGACTTGCAATCCCCCAATACTAGAAGGACCACAAATTGGCCACCTCTTGCCTGTAGAATTCATTGTTCTGTCCAAAAGTGGCCAAACATATAGCTGTGGAAAGTGCATCAGTAGGATATGCTCAAAAGCACACTCCAGACTTTGTGTACCAATTACAAGTTTTGAGAGACTCACCACATCTGACAGTGGAAGTAATACACCATCATATTGAGTAGTAGCTACAGATCATTTTATCCTTCAACAGTTTAATACTTTAAGACTGTCCAATCTGCTAGTCAGTGACCAGCATCTGTTGAGCAAATACTAGGAAGGCTAAGTATTTCTGCTACTGAGTTTTCACTAGAAATAAAGAATAGATACTTAACAATATATAAACCATCATCATGTTGATAAAATATTCCTAAAAATGGATATTACGTACTTGTTTGTATGCTACTTTTATTCATTTTAGTGAAGCTCACTCTTAGACCAATGTTTCTGGTGATTCCCAAAGCTGGCCTATGACAAAAATCATGAATAGTTAATTATATAAATGTCTAAGACATCACTGATTCTTGCTAGGTGAGAACAGCTATTGGTAACTTTTTTAACATACTGTATAAACAGAAAGGCTTTTCCTTGTAAAACTTTGTGTTGCAGAACCTCCTTTTTCAATTTTGTAAATATATCAGTTAGTACAACCATAAAGTGGTGGAAAGTGATTAAAGAACCTCTTAATGAGGGTGAAAGAGGAGAGTGCAAAAAATGGTCTGAAGCGCAACATCAAAAAAAAAAAACTAAGATCATGGCCGCTGGCCCCATCGCCTCCTGGCAAATAGAAGGGGAAGATATGGAGGCAGTGACAGATTTTACTTTCTTGGGCTCCATGACCACTGCGGATGGAGACAGCAGCCCCAAAATTAAAAGACGCCTGCTTCTTGGGAGGAAAGTGATGACAAACCTAGCCAGTATCTTAAAAAGCAGAGACATCTCCTTGCCAACAAAGGTCTGCATAGTCATCATCATCATCAAGCTATAGTTTTTCCAGTAGCGATGTATGGAAGTGAGAGCTGGACCACAAAGAAGGCTGACCGCTGAAGAATTCATGCTTTTGAATTGTGGTGCTGGAGGAGGCTCTTGAGAGTCCCATGGACTGCAAGGAGAACAAACCTATCCATTCTGATGGAAATCAACCCTGAGTGCTCACTGGAAGGACAGATCCTGAAGCTGAGGCTCCAATACTTTGGCCATCTCATGAGAAGAAAAGACTCCCTGGAAAAGATCCTGATGTTGGGAAAGTGTGAAGGCAAGAGGAGAAGGGGACGACAGAGGATGAGATGGCTGGACATTGTCATCGAAGCAACCAACATGAATTTGACCCAACTCCAGGAGGCAGTGGAAGACAGGAGGGCCTGGCGTGCTCTGGTCCATGAGGTCATGAAGAGTGGACACGACTTAATGACTAAACAACAACAACCATAATTCACTTAAAAGATTTACATTTATTCCCAAAAATAACTGTCAGGAGAAATCTGCTACAGAGTTTAGAGTGTCACTGTTTCCCTTTACAACAGCTATGTTGATCCATTACCATGCTACACTTCTGCCTTGAATTGCACAGGTCTGAACACCACAGTTTTGCATATATATGGAGTTTTTTTTCAATATTCAATAAATGCTGTGTCCATGGCCACCCAGACGCCCAATGAGTTCCACACTGAAGGTGTCAAAGTGGTCTATTTGCCCTGAAACACATCTCTAATTCAGTCTCAATATTAGGGGATCATAAGGATCTTTAAGGTTCATTACACACAGTACTATATGGAAAGGATTATCTACACTGTGAAAGAGAACCCTGCTGGAGAGAACTGGTGTGTGTGAGTGTGTATCAGCTATTCGTGCTTTGTAGTTAATGTCTGGGGGGGACTTAAGAATTATACAGTACAGTACATGGATTTTGAATTACATGAGAGCCCAGCACTACTAACCCCAGCACTGTTGAAGGGAGAAGTGTTTTAAGTATTCGTCTCTATCAGCTGTGATTTTTGCTACAATTAGCTGTACATTTATACTAAATAACAAAGAATTCTGCGTTGTAAAATTGTCATATGTCATGAATAAAGGATTTCTAACACCAATTAGGCATTTAGTCCAATTTCATGTACAAGAACCAAGCCCCACTGTGTATAAATGAAATTTATATCAAGCAAGTGTACATTAAATGACAGACATTTGCAGAAGCAATTATTTCAGTTTTGCACTTCTACTGCAAGTTTCTCAAACACTCATATTTAATCATAACTGTTAATAGTAACTTGCAAAAAGGGAATACAATCACAAAAGGTTTGGTTGCTTTTGCAGGACGGAAAGCATACTGTACAAACCAGTTAACAAATACAGTATCACTGTTAATATCAAAGAGGTTTCACAATCTCAATCTGTATCCAGTGCTTCTGCTTGCAAAAACACTGATCATAAATTCGTTTCAGATTACACTTTACAGAAAAGACATAGCACATGCATACAAGCAATTCCCTGAAGGACTATCCATAGTCTTGGAACAACAGCATTACAAGACATTTTTAGGTCCGTAACAGTTGTAAAGACTTGTAAAATCATCCCCACTGAATCTGACTGCTCCAAACATTCAAACCTTCGCCCACATAACAGAAGAATACAGACTATTATTACCTCAACTGATAATATCTCTATCACAGCAAAAAGGACAAGTAGTAAAAACATACTGTCTGAAGCCAATATTTTATAAACTCAATTGGGGAGACAAAAATTCAGCTGTAAATTTTAATTTAGGAAACAGATTCCCAGCATGCCTTACAACTAGAGTTAAATCCAAAGCATGAGACCGTCTTTATCATATAGTGCAAAATACAGTACAGTATAACGTTTTCACCGCGTTGCAACACGTTCCCTCAAACTCTAAAAAGCCTCTCCAACGTTTCTGAAGAAGCTCCGCGCGGATTAATGCGAAAGAGACGCCACAATGGAAGCACTATCGTCTCACTGGATCCTTCAGGCAAAAGAAAGCACAGCGCTGAGCCCAAAGCTGGCAAGCCAGGAAAGCCCCAAGAGGTACAGACAGAGGATCCCTCTTCCCAAGAGCCGGCTCCGCTTTCACACCCTGGGCGCCTTCGCAGCACGAGGCACGCGCGGGTTCAGCGAGCGCGGGACAAAGTTTGTTCCCGCCCTCGGCCGCCTCTGAGCCGGGCGGAGGAGGGACGGGAGCTATAAAACCCCCGTCTGTGGGAAACCCACGGCGGGGGAAGGCGGCGGGGGTTTGAAAGTTCACCCGACGTCGTCGACGCCCCGTCCTCCTCCTCCTCCTCCTCCTCCATAATCTCGGCTCTCCTACAAGGTGTCTTTCTCCTCCTCTACACACACACATACACACACGCCTACAAAAGGGGCTCGGTCCTCCTCTTACCCGTCCTTGCGCCGCGCTTTGTAGACGTGCCCGTAGGTCCCTCTCCCGACTTTGCAACCCTCGTACTCAAAGAGGTCCTCCACCCGCTCGCGCTCGGCCGCCAGCTTGGATTTGAACTCGTAGTCCATGTCTCTCACCCATGGAAGGGATGGCCGAAAGGAGAAGCGACGGGGGAAGAGAGGGGCGGCGCTGGTTGTAGCAGCGGCCACACGGCCGTCAGGTAGAGGGGCACGAGGCCACCGCACTGGGCACCATTTCCTTGTTTTGGATTTTCGAGGCGGGGGGGGGACTCGGCTCCGCCGCCACCCGCTTCAACTAGGTCTTCCAATAGTTGGTGTCGCAAGGGATTCTGGGCTTGGTAGTACGCGAGGTATGGCGGGCTCAAAGCAATCTCGCGAAGACGGGGCCGCGCGCGAACTACAACGCCCAGAGCCGCTTGGAACACCATGCTTAGCTTGCGCCTGCGCCTTACAGCGCCCTGCCCGGTTATCGCTGAGCGGGTGCTGGGAAGTTGCTGACTCTTCACGTTGTCGGGGAAGCAGAGGAAGAAGTAGGGTTGCTTGGAAGTGAAATCAGGGGGAGAAAATTATAATGATTGGGGGCCTTTTTGTTTTTTTATCATTCTGAATCAAACTGAGCTGCTCTCCCTCTGACGGGTAAAACAACCAAAATCCTTGACAGAAGAGTCTCGCGCAGGGGCTTGTTTATCTCCTGAGCTGTCATTCACACCGAAGTCCCGCCCTCCAATCTTTTCTCTTCTCCCCCGTTGGTCAGGGGTTGTCCCACCTCCCCGCCCTCTATCACAAAGGCGGCCAAAACTCTAAAAGGCAGACGTTGAATGCTTTGTCAATCAGTTGAAAGGGTGGAGCTTTGGGCCAAGTATGAGTGGAAATGTCTGTTGATGCTGAAGCTGCTTTTCTTCTGTACCCCTTCCCGTGATGCTACAAGGCTTCGTCTTTCCCGCCCTTCCTCCCCACATTTCCTCAGCACTTTGATCAGGGCTCTGGTCACGTGCCTCTTTCCCGCTTGCGCCTCCTCAGGTTGGGCGCAACATTGTGTATTCCCTGGGAAATGTTGTGGCAGCCTGTGTTGCAAGCAGAGGAAGAGAGAACAAGAGGAAGTGTTGTTTTTTAAAAAGAAAAATACAATAAAAATAGCAGGTATAGATAGTTGAGAGCCAGTATGGTGTAGAAGACAGGAGGGCCTGGCCTGCTCTGGTCCATGGGGTCAGGAAGAGTCGCGCACAACTAAACAACAAAATGATGTAGATAGTGATGGCCTAGGATAGGACTTAGAGATGTGAATAAAAATTCCTGCTCAAGCATGGTAACCTGTGGGGCTGGCAACAGGGAAGCCACCCCTCCATGTCAACCTGAAACCCCTATTAAGGATGTCTTAGGCAGATGTAACTTGATGGCACAAAACACACATCTAGGTTGTTAGTCTTAAGAGCTGGAAGGCTGAGGTGTTCTGCTGACAGCACCTCAGCTACCAAATGCAGAAAATAGGACAACTTTATTGTACCACTAAAAATTGTCTGCCCTTGGAAGCTTCTCAACCAGATAGGTTCCAGAAGGCCTGGAGGGGAGAAGTTATCTGACTTATCTGATCAGCAAGCTTCTCAAAGCTCAGATTGACAGGTGGTACACTGAGATGGCCTCGGTGGTTGGCACAATTGCTCCCAAACTCTCTGCTTCAGACCATGCCTCTCCCTCTGGTTTATGGAGGAGTTATGGGCTATGAAGTTAATTAGGAGATGGCTGGAGAGCTAGTGGAGGGAAAATCCATTGCAGAATACTTTAGCTGTGGTTAGGGGTCTGACCAGGAGGTATCCCAATGCCTTATGATTCGCAAAAACGTATTTTAATATTAGGATAACTGGCAGGGCTGTGAACCAGCAAGCAGAACCTTTCTGAGTGGTTTGCAGTCTCGCTAATCCTGGTCAAAAATGGCCTCACCCAGTGATTTCACCTGGTATAAGTTTGTAATCTTTTTAAAATCAAAAATTGAAGCCATCCAATGTGATCTCAACCCCACAGCCAATTTAGCTGATCAGATTGAGATATTTTGTGCATCCTCTTCATCAACCCAGTTAGCTGAGTTTCACGCTGTCACATTGGAGATGTCCAAGGCATTGGTATGCTGCAGATCTGCCATCTCAGTCCTCAATCCATGCCCATCATGGCTTTTGGAAGCTGTCAACACCATGGATTGGGCCATAAATATTATAAATGCTTCACTGCTCCTTACTTGTGTGAAAGAAATCATCATATGGTCCATCCTAAAATGGCTGAATTTAACCATTTGCTAATATCCTGTTTAGGAGCAAATTGATCAAGTGGATTGTAGTGAACCAGCTCGTCATACCTGGAAAGGAGGACTATCTAGATCCATTCCAGTCTGAGTTCAGACCATGCCATGGAACTGAGACAGCACAATGCTGTCCTTCTGGACAGACTGGCAGGGGTAGGGATCAGTGGTCTAGTGTTCAGCTGGTTCTGGTCTTTCCAGATCCCAGATTGTGGCTGTGACCAGGTAAATTTTTAACCAGGTGAGGCTGATTGTTGAGTTGCATCCCTACCTGGATGGGAGGAGGGCAGGCAGAAAACATCACTACATATGCTGGTAATCTCAAAGATCGACTGCTCTCTATGTGCGGCTTCCCTAGATACTGACCCAGAAACTTCAACAGGGGCAGAATGTAGTAGCCAGGCTGGTGTGAAATGTGAGTAATTTTGATACATCTGCCCCATCCTGGCCCACCTGCACTAGCTGTCTGTCTTGTTCCAGGCCAGGTTCATGTTGGTTCTTACCCATAAAGCCCTTCAGTTTGGGACCTCACTACTTGTTGAAGCATCTTTCCCTAAGAACATCAATCCATATGACCAAATTCTCTCAGGCCATATTCCTATACCTGTAGGTCGCCACACTGAGAGAGGCCAGGAAGACATCCACTAGAAACCAGGCTTTCTCAGTTGTGGCCCCATCCCTATGGAATGGGCTCATGGTGTAGCTGCACCTGGCCCCTTCCCTTGCAGCTTTTAGGAGGATGCCCAAAACAAGGCTGTTCACCAAACACTTTGAGGGCAACCTCTCTTAATGTACTATGGATTTGCTATTTTGATGTTTCCCATTCTACCATCAATTTGGTTTTTTTAGTGGTCTTAATAAAGGTGTTGCATTCCTCTAGTTTTGTATTGTGTAACAACTGAACACCTTCCTTTGGTTTGGTCTGGTTTTGAAACTGAAGTCACCTACCAAAGGCCATGTTAGAGTATTTGTTCTTCCCAGATAAAAGGTTTGGAGTTAAAAGAGGAGAATCAGCCATCTAGTGTGGCTTGAAAACTGACGTAGATAAATGTTTCATTATGCAGAATATCAGACAAAAATAAAATAAAAATACTAAGACAGAAACACTGTGGCACCTTACAGACTACCTATTGTATTTCAATGTGAGCTTTCCTGGATCAAGCAAACTTCCTCAGACGTTTAAGTGAGACTATATGACTGACATATTTATGTATGGTCCCTTCATGACCAAGGGAGAATACAGACAATGAAGTTTGTTATCAAGAACAAATTCATTTTTACTTACCTATCAGTTAATCCCATCTCTTCCTAAGGGTTTCTGATAAACACCAACACTCAAGAGGCATTAATAAATTAGTAAAAAATTTACTTCATATGCAAATCTGCACCTATGCTAAAAACAATAGGAGTAAGTCATAGCCAAGCATAAAAATTACAAAGGCTTGAAATATATGCTTTCCCTTCTCAAAGAGGTACAGAGATTTACACATTTAAAGAGTCCTTCACACACCAAACAATATTAAGAGAGAATTCCCAACTTAAATGGTTAGATATTTACCTTTTACTTCATAATTTTATTAATTAGCATTTTGCACATGCCTTGGGGATTGATACACTCAGTAAATATATCAGTTACATTTTACTTGAGCTTTTATTTCTTCCCTAAAATCTTAAGTATTTCATCCTGTTCTCTATTAGGAAGGATTACATTAATTCTGATTATTTCTAGAAAATAATGGACATTTTAGGATTTTTTTTAAAAAATCTGCAGTAATTTGTCTGTAAACAAAGAATGTTCTGCACTCTTTCACCTTTCTCACATCTCAGACTATACTCTGCTGCTCTGTTCCTGGAAAGTAACAGCTTTACCTCCTAACCTTGATTTAGAATCTTAATCTTGTCTGTCACATTAGTTAGCAATGCAGGACATAATATATTTGCAGGATTAGTCAGCAGCAGGATATAGACAAGATAACATCCTGATTCTGTCTCTTGGTCTATATACAGTTGGGATAACACCTTACCCTCTTACCAACTGGCTATTTTGAGCTCCTGTGTGATCTTCCAATTAATACTAAAACACACCCAACAACAATCACCTTTACATTCAGAAAAAGATACATAAGGATAAACAAATCTAGTTTATGGGCCACATGCCTATCCCTTATTGTGCCCCAGGTCCCTGTCCCCTCTGGATTTTTCAGGGGGAAAGTTGCTTTCTTTTTTATAGGCATTTTCCCCCACATGCCTTGTTCACAAGTAAAACTATACTCCCAGAAGCCTCTGGAAAGTATGATCCTGCTTGTAAGTGAGGAACCTAGGACGTATGCACTTTGTTCTTAAAATAAAACCTGTATGGGGGGAATTTACCCTAATATTGCTATCACAACTAAATTTCACCATTACTGAAAACCTGCATTCCTTGTAACAAGATAGAATCTGGCTGCACAATGCTTCCTGCAGTTCCAGAAGGAACATGCACAAAGAAGACACACCTTAGTTTTAAAAGGAAAAACTGCAGAGGGTTTTTTTTGTCAGCTTACAAAAGACAAACAAAAGTATTATGACTTTAGTGTATTCAGGAAGTTTCACCAAATACATGTGTTACTTCAGCTGGCAGTCACATATACACATGAGCAACCCAGGAGATAATAAACACTGGGCACAGAAGGAACTGAAATACATACAGAGGCTGTGGTAGGTAATAATTATCTTATTCTAATTGTGTGCTATCAAGTCAAATCTGACTTATGGCAACCCTTTTCAGTTTTCCAGGTAAAGAGTACTTAGGAGTCATTTACCATTCTCTTCTTTTGGGCCGCCCTGGGACTGTGCAACTTGCCTAAGGCCACACAGGCTGGCTCTTCTTCCTAGAGGCACAATGGGGAATTATACTCCCAATCTCTTGCTCCACAGACACCTAACTTACTCAGCTATCCAGCCAGCTACAGTAATTACTACCTTGACCATTGACCTTGACCTGTCACAAAACAAGTTCATCAGCGCAATAATCTATTG